AGGGGTTGAGTGAGGGGCTGCACTGCCCAGGAACCCCCCAGAGTCCCCGGAAACCCCCCAGATGGGGACACAGGCAGGCAGGTGGCTCCCAGCCCTGTCCCCAGTCTCATAGAACCCCTGACTGGTTTGGGTTGGAAGGGACCTTAAAGCTCATCCAGTCCCAACCCCCCTGCCATCAGCAGGGACACCTTCCACTAGACCAGGTTGCTCAAAGCCTCATCCAGCCTGGCCTTGAACACTTCCAGGGAGGAGCAGCCACAGCTTCTCTGGACAAAACCAGTCTCACCAGTACAAAGCTCGGTCCCTGGTCTCGGTGTCGGTGAGGCCGGAGCTGATGAACATGTCCTTGTAGATGCGGCCGCACAAGCAGAGGAGGTCGGGTGCAGCCCCCTCCTCACGCTCCACCACAGGCAGCAGCACCCCCAAGGCCACCTCCCGGTCCCCAGCACGGTTACGCCTGCACACACACAACCGGGACTCGGCCAACGGCACCACCAGCTTGGCCCATCGGTCCCCTGACCCCCCAACTCCGTGCCATGGGGGTGCCCGGGGTCTGTGTGTGTGTCCCCCCCCGTCACCGCTCACCGGCTGAGGGCGAAGGCGTAGTGGAAGCGGACGGTCACGGTGCAGGTCGGCAGCGCCTGGAGGGTCTCCACCAGTGAGATGATGGCATCATAATCCTGTGGGGACAGTGGTGGGGATGAGCTGGTGGCCCTCAGGCTGCCCATCCTCGGTTCTGTGGGATGATGCTCAACCTGGACTGACCAAAGCTTTGGGGTTGCAAGTTCCTCTGAGCAAGGGGAGGCTGTGGAGCATCCCCTTGGGGCACTGATGTGGTCCCTGGGATGATGATATTGTCCCCAAGATGCTGATACGGTCCCTGAGATGCTGATATTGTCCTCAAGATGCTGATATGGTCCCCAAGATGCTGATATGGTCCCCAGGACACTGATATGGGCCACAGAATGCTAATATTGTCCCCAGGATGCTGATATTGCCCTCCAAGATGCTGACATGATCCCCAGGACGCTGATATGGTCCCCAGGACGCTGATACTGTCCCCAGGACCTCCCCAGGACCCCTCCCTTACTCTCACCTGCACGTCACGGTAGGACAGGAGAAGGTTCACCACGATGTCCAGGCTGAGCAGCTCCACGCTGTCCAGGCGCTGCTGGATACGGGTCAGCTCCCGGCTCAGCTGCTCCCCCCGGTACATCTCCCGCGCCTTCCGGATATCCCGACGGATCATCTCCCGAAAATACCCGCTGGGAATGGGGGGCAAAGATGTGGGGTTCTTGGGGTGGTGGCAATTCGCTGAGCCATGCCAGCTCGCGTGCGCACGGGGGTTTGACCACAGCCAGAGCTGGGGGCAGCAGTACCAGGAGTTGGTGGGGATCCCCTCCAGCAGCTGGACGAGGCGGGTGGCCAGCGGGGTGAAGGCAGCTTCCGTCTCTAAGTTGGGTTGGAAAAGCTCTGTTGGGCATTTCATGGTCCTGGTGTCACAGCAGATGACCTTGTTCTGGGAGGTGATGGTGTAGGGGATGAGGGTGTAGGGGCCGCACAGGTCCTGAGGGAGGGGAGAAGGGGTGAGCAGCTGTGCCAGGCAAGCTGAGAACCTCTCTACTCATGTCATGGACCAGCCCCCTCTCTCCAAAGCTGCCCACACTGCCCGGACCATACAGGCCACACTAACACAACCACCTTCCATAAACCATTAGCGGGGAAAGACAAACCAGCTTTATCTCTGACTGCCATCATTACGCTCCAGAGTGAACATTCCTGGTTCTTTCAAACCCAGGTACCCCTCTCTGTGCTGCTCTTCCTGGTGCTTGCTCTGAGTGAGTGAGGACCCCCCCCAGCTCAGATCTGGGGAGAGATCTCACTCCCTTATCTACAGGGGAGAGACTGGGGGGTGAGGCAGCTCAGGGGCTCAACCCCCACCCCCCGAGCACCACAGCAGCAAGCACAGGGACAGGAGACGCACCGAGTTCTTCTGGCAGATGTCCTCCTGGGGAGAGAGAGGGAAGGAAGAGGGATGTCATCAGTGTCCCCAGCAAAGAAATCAGCTGATTTCAGGCTCAGGGATCGGAGTCACCTGGAAAACAGCCAGGGATGGAGAGGGACACTGGGGACAAGCTGTGACGGTGGCCAGTGACCCCCACACTGTGAGCATTGTGTGTGGACCCCCACCCCGGGCAGGGCTGCAAACACAGCCGGCTTCTCCTCCAAACCTGGGAAGGGGTCTCCAAACAGGTGCTCCTCCAGGTCAGGGTGACATTTGGGGACAGTTTGGATGTGCTCCCATCTGCATTTCCCCCCCCGAGCAATGAAAATCCCCCCCTCCCCTGGCCCCTTCCATGCGGAGCATTTTGCTTCCCAGGAATCAGCTTTTCCCAGG